TTGCCAATGTTTGATGCCATACGCTATTTTCACATTGTCGGCCTTGCCGTGATCGGTTTTACTGAAGTTGGCTAACCAGATCTGCCGAATTCCTCCACATCGGCCCCGACCACGAAGCATAGCTGGCTACACACCTTGTGCACCGGCCAACGAAGTCAGCTTCGGCCAAGCGAGAGTGGGGCCCTTTCACGTCAACATAAAGGTCTAAATGAAAATTGTCGCCTTTATTAGTAGACTGGACAGCAACATACATTGGTGTAAGGAAGTTTCTCGCCATTCCTTACTGGGCCATCAACATCGCATACAGCAGCAGCCGTTTTTTTCGCCGGTTACTGCTAACGGGGCTACGCCAACTTCGCGCGCACTGTTTAACCATGCCTTGCACCACTGGCCCGCCCGAGTCAGCCTACGCTTCGGTTCTAGCCTGAACCTCGATGCCAGCCTAGCACTAGCTAGCTCGCACGCACCGCGTTACCGTTTGCATGTTTCGCGTATAAGTATTCGCTCATGCCTTCGCTCATACCATGTACTCGTTTGACACCTAGTGTAGTCCTTGCTATCTCGTTCCATTGCACCCGTAACACTTGGTTATCAAAGCCACTTTCTTTTCAGACTGCGCATCTCCGCACACCAGGAATTCAACTTTTGATTTTTCACTTGAAGGGGCTCATGCCCCTTAGCCTCTAGGAGCCGCTGTCCTTGGGTTCTATCTTAAACACGTGCAGCCACGACTACGCCTAGACTAAGCCTAGCTGACGCCCTTCGACATGGACGAGCACGTCGACGTCACGACGCTCATGCATGAGCGCCTCAATGAACTGCTACAGCAAATTCGCGAAAACTCTGAAGAAATCGCGGCGCTGACGGCTGAGCGTCAATCCCTGCACAATGACGTCGCACGAGCACGGCAAGCACAATCGCAAGCAACAAACGCACCGGGAAAAACCGCGCAAGCATCACAGCACGGAAGCGTGGAGCGACCCGCGAGCACGGCCTGTGGTGGCGTTATCCGCAACGACGGAGACGACGACCACGGCGCGACACACCCCGAAGCGACGAATGCGGCCAGAAGCCACCCTCGTGTCACGATTTCGGTGTCAACATGCGAGTCTGCACTGCCGTCGCCGATTCCGCTGAAGCCTCAGCATCCGCCATGCTTTGACCCGAGTCAACGGGGTGGTCCTACCGTTCAGGCGTGGTTTTTCACGATGAATATGTTTTTCGACGATAAAAACGTCTCGGGGGATACCGCGATTTGCTACGCCATGTCGTTGTTGCGAGGACCCGCCATGGATTCGTGGCGTATTATTGTCATGAAGCCGTCGGACTACACGACTCTACCGACACGGAAAGGACAAACCGGACCCTAGGCGCCGTCGTATTTTGTGAAGGTGCCCCAATATCGCACATTGGACGCGTGGTGCGCAGGTCTTCACGCCCGATTCGAGCCAATTGCGGCTTCGATCGCGGCGCGACAGAAGCTCCGCACTTGGCGCCAGCTCGGTTCCGTCCAAGATTACACAATCGAGTTCCTGGCGTTGTGTGAGCAGGTGGGCTTTATGCATGAAAGTGAGCACATTGATCGCTACATCGGCGGCCTGAAGCACAACATTGCTCAGAAAATCCAACTCCGCGACATCACCGATTTCCAGGAAATTCTTGCTATGGCGGAGAAGCTCGACTTTTTCTGCTGACCAAGACTGGGGTCTATGGGAGTTGTAGTAACCGGGGGCATCGGTCTCGTGGGATGGACGAAGTCGCTACGATACGTGTCGTCGCCGTGAATGCCGCTGCCGCACCGTTTAAAGGGCGCTGCTTCCCGTGCAGTCGGCCAGGACAATCGCGAATGCCCGGAAAACGCTAAGGGAAAGGGGGAAGCTGAGCGGCAGAAACAGACCAAGCAGAAAGGAAATACAGGGAGTCAGTAGCAGACGGGCCCTCTACTGACAGGTCATGTCCCAATTGACCCTCACAGAGTGATTGTGCTTGTTCACGCAATCGACCACACTCGGCCGAATAAGGAGGGTACCGCGGTAGACAGCCCCATACTGCTTAGTGGGAAAATTGGGACAAACTTAGTTAAAATATTCGTAGACGGGGGAGCCAGCCACAGCCTCATCAACACTGCCACGGCACGGAAGCTGAAACTGCCACTGGACCGATGCTTACCTGAGATCGACGTAAGACTTGTTGACGCACGCCACTGGCGATATGGAAACGCGTAGACCAAGTTCGGATTCGATGCGGGGGTAAATGTTCGCGACAACCTTCGACGAAATCGACATATTTACTCGGTCGTGATTGGTTGCGACGACATAATCCGCGAATCATCTGGACGACAGGTGTCTGCACCGTGCGAGTGGACGGCAACGACATCTCCTTACCTCGCTGGGGCTCGCCTGAGTCTTTGTTGGTGTGTGTCAACGCGATCACGATGAAACGCGCCGTAGCGGTAGGAGCTGCGTGTATGCGGTTGACATTCGGGTTGACATTCGGGTTAACATCCCTGACAGAGCACAGCACCTGCGGGACATTGAAGCCGTTTCTAAATACTCAGTGAAAACCGCCTACTAACAAAAGCCTCTAAGTGTGAGTTTCTACGGGACAGACAGGAGTTTTTAGGGCACATTATTTCAGCTGATGGAGTGGAATAGACCCGAAGAAGATCGTGACGATTCAAGCCTAGCACGCGACAACTACGTGCGCCGGTTTGTCCCCGACATGGCGAAATTGACTGCTCTGTTGACCAACCTGCTGAGGAATTTGGGTGAGTACACGTGGGGGGAGAAAGAGCAAGCTGCCTTCTCGGCCCTCAAGAAAATATTGTGCTCACCGTCCGTACTTCACATCGCAGATCCGCACCGACCGTTCGAGCTCGTCACCGACGCAAGTGACATCGCTGTGGGAGTAGTACTGTTGCATGACTTCGGGAACGGCCTCTAGCCAATCACGTACAAGTCACGCAAGCTTCACCCGCCCGAACGCAACTACCCGATACACGACCAAGATGCTGGCGATCGTGCACGCGTTCAAAGTCTGGCGATGTTACCTGAACGACGCCGACGTGATAGTACGGATAGACCACCGATCACTACAGTGCCTCCGCGCCCAACCGAATCTCAATCCGCGACAGATCCGCTGGTTGGACTATCTGGAGTCCAACTTCCACTACACCGTCACGAACAAAAAAGGTGCATCAAATATCGCCGACGCACTCACTCGCCCGACGTACCGAAACTCCGACCCCGCTACTTTGCCCCATTCCAAAGCAGCCACATGATCACACATGTTACCGCCTATCTACTGTTACCGACAGACTGTTACATCAGCCCATTGTTCCACGTTAGCCTGCTTCGCACTTACATCCCAACCACAAGCCAACTGCCTCGTCACATCCCGCTGCCCATGACTCGCCCTGCATCGGAGCCGATCATTGAGCCCGAGAAGATAGCACGCCAACTGAAGATAGCTGGGTGCCCCTGGCCAACATCGAAAACCACCCTGCCCTGCAAGTGTACCTAAGGAGCCGAGGTTTTCACGATATACACGCACTCGCGTAGCTGAGGGAGGGGGTAAGGATTTTCTCGCCATTCCTTGCTGCGAGATCGCGTACAGCAGCAGCCGTTGTTTGCCCATTACTGCTAACGGGGCTTCGCCAACTTCGCGCGCACTGTTTTACCAAACCTCGCACCGCTGGCCCCGCCAAACTTCTGGGCTAGCCCGAACCTCGATGCCAGCCTAGCACTAGCTAGCTCGCACGCACCGCGTTACCGTTTGCATGTTTCGCGTATAAGTATTCACATATGCCTTCGCTCATACTTTGTACTCGTTTGACACCTAGTGCAATCCTCGCCATCTTGTTCCATTGCACCTGTAACAGTTGGTAAAAAAAAGATAGTTCCATGTTAAGCTGTCTTTTTCAAAATGGTGTTCATTTCGTATTATTGTAGACTTAGAGTTACGGGACTGCAACGGCATGAGTGAAGGGGAGCTCGCGTCGCGGTTGTGGAGTGAAGGTCTGCGGTTGTGACTTCAAATGTCGCTGCGGCAATTAGCCGGCCCAGCAGCAAGCAGAGTGACTACCGTCTGACAGCCTTCCCGCCAAGTGACAGGCACTACTGGAAACGCGAAAATTGTTTTTTGTGCGGACCAAAATATCTTCGCAACAATTTCAGGGCACGCAACTGAACACTCGAAGGTCTTCCGAAAAGAGTGTGGATATCCTATCCTCAACTCTGACTGGAAAGGACCTATCCCCCAGGAAGGTGGAGTCGGTGAAAGTCAAGACAGATTCGACTTCGGACTTGAATCACCTCGTCAAAACAGGTCTGGGCGAACGAGGGAAATCACCTGCCTGAGTCGAAGGAAAAAAAAGCAACTTCCTCGAAACTGTAGTTTCACTCTGACGCCTCTCTGACCCGCCTCGCACATGCCTGCAAATGTGCTGCCTGATTGATTTGCAGACCATGCAACTGAAATCGCACGTCCGCGATCTTCGCGCGCTGCGACCAGCCGGCATCCACGACGCCGCTTCGTGGCTAACCAATCCAATCACACTCACGAAACGCCGGGTGGAGACGGTCACTTTGACTGCGAGTCTGAGCCAGAGTGACTAGAGTAGTTCCGAGTACAAAGCTGCTGCGACTTCAGCCATGAAGTTGTCTTTTCACAGAAACATCTCGACTCGAGACTTTCAAGCGTCGCTTCCTCAACCAGCTCTCGCCACTCCACAGCACCGTCACGAGGGCGTCACGGCGACAGCCCGGCCCGCAAGACCCAGCGCGCGGCTGACGTGTCAGCCATGACCGTCCATCATGCGACGGCGCTACTCGTAGCGGCCGTGGCGGCTCTCCTCCTTTGCCCTGCAGCTCTGCCTGCGGCGGCAGCGGACGCGTCCGTCATGTTCCGCTCTTCCCGCCGCCTCACAACCTCCCCAAGCCTCGGCCTGTTCGGCCTTCCGCAATCGTGGTTTCGCAGCGGAGCGACCGCCGGTGCGCAGCATGAACGCTCGCTCGTCGAGCAGGCCGCGGGCGCAGGTGGCGCAGGCGTGGGGCTCCCCGACGCCAGTGCCGGCGCAGTTGGCGCAGGCGGCGCTAGCGGCGCAGGCGAAGCACCCGCGAACGGCGGAGCCAGCGGAGCAACAGATCAAGGCCCCACCGGCGGCGCAGGCAGCGCAGGCGTTTCCGCTAACCAAGGTCCCCCCGACACCGGCGCAGGCGGCGGAGCGACCGGCGCCAGTGGCGCTGGTGGCGCAGGTGCCGGCCAAGGACCCGCCAACACCGGCGCAGATGGCGCAGGCGTCGGCCAAGGGCCTAGTACTGGCAACGCAGGCGGCGGAGGCGCTAACCAAGGACCCCCTGACGCTGGCGCAGGCTCCGGCGAAGGACCCGCAAACGCCGGCGGCGGAGGCACCGGCGCGGGCGCTAGCGCAGGCGCGGGCGCGGGCGCTAGCGCAGGCGCGGGCGCGGGCGCTAGCGCAGGCGCGGGCGCAGACGCAGGCGCAGGAGCAGGCGCAGGCGCAGGCGCGGTCGCAGGAGCGGGCGCAGACACAGGCGCAGGCGCGGGCGCAGGCGAAGGCGCTGGCGCAAGCGCAGGCGCAGGCGCAGGCGGCAGGGGCACCCCCGGCGACCAAGCACCCGTGGACGCGGGTGGCTCAGGCGCCAACCAAGGGCCCTCCGACGCCGCTGGTCAGCCGGATGCCGCCGCGGCGCATGGCGGCGGAAATGATCGCGCGGAGCCAACGGCGGGAGTGCGCATGCGGGACTTGGTGGTGTGGCGGGCCGCCAAGTTCCAGCTCAAGTCGCGCGAAGCCCAGGCGCACATGGCGGCCGGCAAGACCAAGGCGGCCGAGGCGCAATTCCGCGCTTCGGCGCTGGAGAATGCAACGGATGGGGAGGCTTGGTCTGGCCTGGTGCACAGCTGCGTGGATCAGGTGAGACGACCCCTTTCAGTTCAAACTTGACGGTTCAAAATTCTGCTGCTATCGCATGCCTTGCTCTAGATGAGAGTGCACTGTATCGCCGTCGCACTCATGTTCGAGTTCTATGTGGCCCGTGGGTCCTAACGCGAGCGTGGTGTGCGGCGTGGTGTGCGACGGTGTGGCAGATGGCGTTGGTGACGGAGAGTGTGGAGGCGGCAGCGGGGATGCTGGAGAGCGGCGGCGAGGACGTGAATCTGCCGCGCATCCACCTCTCCAACGCCGTCACGCTCGCGCTCGACTGCGCCGAGGGCTTCGACCTCTTCGCGCCGGGCAGCTCCCGCGACCCGCGCGTCAAGGCGCTCCAGGTGCGCGCCTCGCAGCCCCCTGCCGATGCTCCGTGCTCACGGCATGACCGCCGAGAAGCATGGCGTTGCGCTGCCATTGTTGGTCGCCCTTCACCATCATCGTTGCCGGTCAGGTTGCCGCCTTGGATGTATTTCGAAGAGTACTCATGATGTTGCACACGCGGCTGTGGTATGTGTGTCTGTTTGTGCAGGACGCAGCGATGGAAACTCGCGCTGCGGTGATGGATGCGCTGGGCCAAGCAGCGGACATGGCGGCCATGATTGCAGCAGGCGATGACAGCACTGCTGCCGCCGCCGCCGTGCCTTCGCCCTCGCCCACTCGCCGCCGCCTACTGCAAGCCACCGTCACTGGCACAGCCGGTGCAATCACGGTGGCCGATCCCCACAACTCCATCCCCGAAACCAGCAGTACGGGCAATCCTGGCATCATGCCCGGAGGTGGCAGCCCCACGTCAGCCAACAACACTGCTGGAGTCCCTGGCGTGCCCTTTAATACCACCGGCTGGATGCACCCTGGCGGCCCCAGCCCTCCCCCACCGCCCTCCCCTCCTCCCTCTCCGCCTCCTTCCCCGCCCCCCTCTCCCCCTCCTCCTTCTCCCCCCCCTCCTTCCCCTCCGCCGTCTCCCCCTCCGCCTTCTCCTCCCCCTCCATCTCCCCCTCCGCCATCCCCTCCCCCTCCTTCTCCTCCTCCCCCTTCCCCTCCCCCTCCCTCTCCTCCTCCGTCTCCCCCTCCGCCTTCCCCTCCCCCTCCCTCCCCGCCTCCGCCTCCTCCCTCCCCTCCCCCTTCCCCGCCCCCATCTCCTCCGCCGCCTCCCCCACCGCCCGCTCCGCGCATCACCCCCACGGTCACAGTGGCACAGGACGGTTCTGGGAACTTCCTCACAATTCAGGTGCGTGTGAGAGGGTGTGTGCGACAGTCTGCTTATCCTCAGGAGAGGGGGGATTTCTCTCACCATACTTTTGTGCTGTTCTCGCCCCTCACATGTCTGTGTGCCTTGTCTGTGCTCCCCTGGGCCGAGCAGGCTGCGATCACGGCTTACCCCAAGGGCTTCAAGGGGCGCTATGTGGTGTTTATCCAGCCGGGCTTTTACCGTGAGAAGGTGCTGGTCAACTCCACCTGCAAGAATGTCACGCTGTTGGGGACCGGTGCTGCCAACACTGTGATCTCGTGGTACGACAACGCCACGGCCGGCACCGGCACCTTCCAGACTCCCACGGTCGGTAAGCAACGGCCCACTCTCCCTCGCTCCTCTCCTTCCTGCCGCTGCGCCTGCTCTGCATCTTGCTGTTCGCTCTTCCTGTACCTCTACCTCCACCTGAATTGCTCCTTGCTGTTCTGTTGTCTCTGCCCACCATTTCCTGTCTTTTCTCTGTCCCTCTTCAACTCTTCCTTTTCCCCTTATCCCTCTTGTCCCTCCCCTCTTCCTCCCCTCGCAGCTGTGGACGCTACTGGCTTCGTGGCCATCGGCATTCGCTTTGAGAACACGGCAGGGAAGGCGGGGAACCAGGCAGTGGCTTTCCGACTGACAGGCGACGGTGGTGCCTTGTACGAGTGCGAGTTCATTGGATGGCAGGACACACTCTACACGCACGGTGGGCGGCAGTACTACCGCAACTGCTATGTGAACGGGTCGGTGGACTTCATATTTGGCAACGGCGCAGCTGTGCTGGATAACTGCACGATCCACATCCGCCCATACACCAACGCGCCGGTCACAGCATCAGGGCGAACCAACTACACCGAGAACACGGGTATCGTGCTGCTCAACTCCGTCATACAGGGAGACCTTGTCAACAAGGCATACCTCGGACGACCCTGGAAACCCTACGCGCGAGTGGCTATCATCAACACCACAATCACCAATGTGGTATGTCCTCCTCTCCCTCCCTCTCTGTCCCCTCTTCGTTTTGCGTTCTGCAGACTCTTTTTCTGCCTTACCACTTTTATTGCACCTCCTTAACCCCCTCCTTTGCACTTTGCTGTTTGTGTGCCCTCCCCTCAGCTGAATACAAGTGGCTGGCTGGACTGGAATGGAGTAGTGTACAATACTTCTACATTCATCGAGCAGGGCAACAGTGGGCCGGGGTCAGTGGGGCCGCGCATAGCATGGGCACTGCCGGGCATCGTGACTGACCCTGCCCTGGTCTCCATGTACTACCCCAACAACTTCCTCACCCCCTTCTCCTCCATCGCCAACCTCATTCCCTTCCCCTGGCTCTAACGTTCGTGAGCCGTCCACAACAACGCTTCTCCTCCCGTGTTGGAGGCACTTATGATTCACTTTCATTTGTTGCTTTTACGTAGTTGCAGTGTAGTAGGTGCAACATATGGTAGATTGGCCTTGGAGTATGTGATATTTACTGTAGCTGTGATGCCTTGTTTTTTCGTTGGATTTATCAAAGTGTTTGCATTTGGCAGTAGTGCACTACAGAATTTTCTAGTCTGTTTGCTTTGGCTTAAGGGGACCCACACTACGCAAGCCTGTAGCTAGAAGAGCAATTGATTTGACCTTTTATGTTGTACATAACATTTAGTGCTGGCTTTGTGTTACAGGTGCAACGGAACGAGATAGCAACGATTGTACAAGGTGTCAAACGAGTACAAAGTACTGTTGGAAACAAGTAATTTAACGCTTCTGATGTGTCGGAACATTGAACCGTAAACGAAGCGAACCACAACGAAGCATCGGCGAGTCAACTGAGGTGGTTGACAAAACGTAACTGCTGGAGGTTACGCGAAGGTCAAAGGTGTTATGAGTTGTACGAATGAAGAGTGCGCAGAATGCAATATCGCGGAAGTGATTACAACAATTGAATGAACAACGAGGCCTAGGCACAATATAGCAAGGCTAGCTAGGCCGAGGTCGCGGGGTCGCGAGATGGTTGGGTGCAGGTTCGGGGTTGGAAAACCCGAAGGCGACGCGGTGGTGGCTCGGAAGGCGAGGTCGGCGGGCCGAGCCTGGTTTTCCGAAAGTCGGGGTTGTACGCGTACGGAGTGACCCAGTAAGGAATCCGAAAAATTCCTTACACTACCCCCCCCCTTAAGAAAGGTGGTGAATATCCGAGACACCTCGGCGGGCCAGGTAAGCATCCACAACCGGATGTCCTAGTAGCGAGTCCGCGGTGACATACGTGTCGTCCTCGCTCGTGCGTTCTTTCCAGCGAAGCAGAAATTTCATCGAGCGGCCGGCGGCGGTTACGTCCACGCGATGGTTGAGAATCTTCCAAGGTTCCAGCGTGGGTTCTGCTACTGGACGGGTGGTCGGCGCGATGGTTGGCCGAGCAACAGCTGGCGACTGCGGCTGTTCGTAATGACGCAGTAGGCTGACGTGGAACGCGTCATGAATTTTCCAGTCGTCGGGCAGCAGCAGCTTCGCGGTGACAGGTGTCACCATCTGGATGATCCGAAATGGTCCAACGTAGCGGGGCCGTAATTTCGCGGGCTGCGGCAGACGAAGATTCTTGGTGTCCAAGAGCACAACCTGCCCTGCGCGGAAGGGTAAATTCCGTCGATGCTTGTCCGCCTGGTGGCTGGCTGTGGTATTAGCCCGTCGAATAAAATCAGCTGCTTTCGTGCGGGCGGTCTGCAGCTCCGTGACAAACTGCTGCGAGCGTGGTACCGGGTTGTCCACAGTCGTTGAAGAGGGTACCACGGGGTCTATCCCGTAATTTAGGAAGAAAGGCGATTGTCGAGTCGTGGCCGAAGGGGCGTTGTTGTACGCAAATTCCAGCATCGGCAGCGAATCCTCCCACTTGCGGATATCTGGGCAGTTGGTGCGAATCAGTTGCTCCATGGTCTGATTTGTCCGTTCCGTCTGTCCGTCGGTTTGCGGGTGGTATGACGACGAAAACTGCAGGCGGGTACCGTACTGTGCCCACGTCTCCTGCCAGAACTTCGACGTAAATTTCGGGTCTCGATCGCTGATGATCGCCGAAGGTAACATGTGTAGGCGTACGACGGTGGAGATGAACAGTTTAGCTGTATCTTCGGCTGTGATCGTCGTTCGGCATGGGGCGAAATGCGCCATTTTCGTCAGGCGATCGACGACGACCAGCACCGAGTCGTTGCCACTCGCGCCAGCTGGTAGCCCCGTGACGAAATCCATCGTCACTTGCTGCCACGGTCGTTCGGGTGGCTCGAGGGGTTGCAGCAGTCCAGCCGGCCGTTGTCGCGACGACTTCATTGCTTGGCAGGTCGGGCAAGTTGACACGTAGCGCTGCACATCGGTGAGCATGTCCGGCCAGTAATAATTCCGCTGCAGCAGCTTCAGTGTTTTGTCGGTGCCGAAATGCCCGGAAAGGTTGGAGTCGTGAACCTCCTGCGTCAGCAGCTCCCGTAAAGGCTGGTATGCTGGTACCCAAATCCGGTTCGTACCGGCTTTTAGGTAGTACTTGCCGTGCGGTGTAGCAGCCTGTTGTTGCGGGTTCCGAAAAAACCTGTCGATCTTGTAGCCGTGGGTGAATAGTCCCGTCAGCATCGGGTTGGTGTGGGCGATTAGTACCGCCGCGTTTTGCATGGATGGCCTGGTGAGGGCGTCGGCGATGTTGTTGGCGCCCTTTTTGTACGTGATGGTGTACCGAAAATTGGACTCGAGGAAGTCCAACCACCGGATTTGTCGCGGGTTGAGTGTCGGTTGCGTGCGCATGTACTGTAGTGATTTGTGGTCGGTCCGAATGGTCACGTCGGCTCCCGTGAGGTAGCAGCGCCAGACGCGGAATGCATGGACGATGGCCAGCATCTCCTTGTCGTGGACTGGGTAGTTGCGCTCGGGTGGCTGCATCTTGCGTGATTCGTAGGCTATGGGTTGCAACCCTTGGCCGAAATCCTGTAGCAGGACAGCGCCGACGGCGAAATCGCTGGCGTCCGTGACAACTTCGAACGGTCGAGATGGGTCAGCGAGGCGGAGTTCCGGGGGTGACTTCAAAATGTTTTTGAGGGCGTCGAAGGCGGACTGCTCCCTCTCCCCCCACTGAAAACTGTTGTCGTGATGCAGCAGGTCGGTCAGCGGCTTGGTTATCCCTGCCATATTAGGTACAAAACGACGAACGTAGTTAACAAACCCCAAAAAACTTTGCAGCTCGGAGATATTAGTAGGCGGCTTCCACTTAGCGATGGCGTCTACCTTACGCGGGTCAATTTCGATCCCTTCGCCGGAAACCACGTGCCCTAAAAATTCTAATTCCGGCTTTAGGAACTCGCACTTAGACCCCTTCGTAATCAGCCGATGCCCCTGTAAACGCCGGAACACCTCCTCTAAATCCCGCAGATGATCCTCTTTTGTTGCGCTGTACACCAGGATGTCGTCCAGATACACGATGACCTTCTTGTCCAGCATGTCCTCAAAAATCCCGTTCATGGTGAGCTGGAACGTCGAGGGCGCGTTTGTCAGACCGAACGGCATCACTGTGAACTCGTAACTGCCGTAGCGGGTGCGAAAAGCGGTCTTCGGGCAGTCGTCGGCGAACACGCGAATTTGGTGGTAGCCTCCTCGCAAGTCGATCTTCGAAAAATACCGAGCTCCGCGAAGTTGATCCAGCAGATCGTCGGTTCGCGGGATCGGGTAATGCGACTTTATCGTGACCCGATTTAGCACCCGATAATCAATGCACATGCGTAGGCCCCCGTCCTTCTTCGGCGTGAACAGTATCGGCGCTGCATACGGCGACGTGCTTGGCGGGCCCGCAACTCGGCGAGCTCTGGTTGGCTGAGTCGCCACTGTGTCCTAACAGTCGGTTGCGCTCCTGGCTCCAGCTGGATCCGATGATCCTCATGTCGCTAGGGGGGCAAGCCATCCGGGAGGTCATCCGCGAAAATTTCGGGATACTTCCGAATGATGCTCGCCAATTCCTCGGGGACTGCCGCGCAGAGGGTGTCGATGTCCGCGATTTTCTCGGAAGCTGCCACCTCGTACAGGTGCACCAAGAAGGCTTGAGCTCCGCTGTTCATCGCACGCTGCATGTTGACCGCGTTGACACGTGTCGTCACCGGCTCCGGCTCCGTCCATTTCGGAAGCGTCGTCTTCCCTCCGTATCCTCGCACGACGCACGCCCCAGTCGTCCAGTCGATCGTCGGATTGAAGCGCTGCAGCCAATCCCGCCCCAGCAGCACATCGCAGCCGTCCAACGTCGTCGCCAACATTCTCATACCAAACCCGAATTCGTCGCCACACTGTATCCGAATTTTTCGCGCTTCATCTCGGATGGCCAGCGGTGTCCCATCCACCAGCCTTGCATCGATCTCCGGCAGACACCTGGTCAGCTTCACCCCAATTTTTTTGGCCGTTGCCAGGTTGACGAGACTGTGGCTCGCCCCACCGTCAACGAATATTTTTATTTTATAACCGTTAACCCTCCCCACCACCAGCACAGGGTAGTCCACGTGTTCACCCACGTTATTCGTCCGGTTCTGGTCGATAGCTCTGATCGGTACCACGACCCGGTGTGGATGGTGATTGTCGGGCGACAGGGTCTCGTCAGTAGGTGGCCCTTCTGCTACTGACTCACATCTTTTCCCGACCCTTCTCCGTCGTTCTTCTTCCCCTGCTTAAGCCTCGGGCAGTCTTTCTTCAGGTGGCCCAGCTGGTTGCATTGAAAGCACGGCCCAAGGGCTCGGCTTGGTGCATCCACGCCGTTGATCGTGGGCTGCTGGGTCGATCCACGAAATCGAGGGCCCTCCCGGGAGCTCGATCTCGCCCACTGCATCAGCGCATCCGTTGACTCGGCTTCCCGGATGGCATCGTTGAAGCTGCGTGGCCGGGTTCGTCGGACCTCGTACTGTATCTCGTATTTCAGGCCCGCCACGTAGCGATCCAACCGCTCTGCATCGCTCATGTCGTCCACTTGGTCCGCCAAGTTGCAGAATTTGCTGGTGTAGTCTTGGACCGAAGCCAACTGCTTCCAGGTACGCAGCTGCATGCGAGCAGAATCCGAGGCGGATATGTGCTCGAATCTGGTTCGCAAGGCGGCGCCCCACTCCTTCCATGTGCGTATCGTGGCCGTCCCGAAAATTGATGTTGCCTGATGCGTGACAGGTGTTGAAGTCCCGTCGTTCGCACGTGCTGTTCCTGCCGAAGTCCCTTCGTGTTGCAGCGTTCGCCTCCACCACTCCAGCGCAGGCCCTCGCAACAGTGAAACTGCGAAATTAATGCGGGTGGCATCGTCATAAATCATGGCAGCATTAAAAAACACCTCCACGCCGAACAACCATGCAGAAACAGTGACG